CTCCATATGCCCCCACTCTGACTGGTGGGCCACAGTGACGTTTTGGGTCTCCTGGAATTAGTGTCAGCTCAGAGCCAGTATCCAGTAATCCCCGAAAAGTCTGATTACTTCCTTTTCCCCAGTGAACAGTCACTCTCGTAAAAGGTCATAGATCCCTTTGGGGAAGGCTGGGAGAAAGATTAACAGTAAAAATTTTTGGCAGTGTATTAGAGTCCTTCCTCAAGGGGATCTGGCCTCCCCTTCATTCAAGGGGTTGTGGATCTTTAAACTGACTCAAATCTGGGAATTGATTGAGAGACTGTGACTCTCTATTCTGGTGATTCGAGTTAGACTGCTGTTCACCTGACCTAGAATTCATCCGTTCGTATAGATCAAGTAAATATTTAGTAGATTTCCTATCTATTTCATTCCTAGGGACACCATGACTAAGTAGCCAATGCCATAAGTCCATACGAGTCAGACTATTCTGATTATTGCTTTGACTCCTCTGTCCATTACTGTAACCATGCCCACCTTATCTTTGTCGACTGAGTGAAGCCACTTGGCCCCTACTACCATGGGGTCCAATCAGCCCCATTGTAGTTAGGTGTCTTAATTCAGTTAGGGCAGTTACTACTGTTAAATCTGATTTACATAAAACAGCAATCATAGCAGTCTTCAAGAATGCTGGAGCTCCCTTCACAAATTTGTTCCTCACAGTTGTGGACACTCCATGTGTGGGTCTGTGGGTCTAATTTGATAAATCCAGTCTAGCATGCCAATTTCCCTAAGCCTTTGGATACCTTCTTCTACAGTATACCAAGGCAGGTCTGGTACTTCAACTTGATTTAGTGTTGGCCACCTCATAATCCATGCTTCAGCAACCCAACCAAATAAACTATTCGATCCTTTCCTAACTTCTGTAGCTGAAACATTGAAGGAACAGTCTGTGCTCAGTGGGCCCATATCAATAAACTCAGACTGATCCATCTTTATGTTCCTTGCACTATTATCCCACACCCTTAATAGTCATTCCCACACATATTCCCCAGGTTTCTGTTTGTACCTATTAGAAAACTCAAGTAGTTCTTTCAGAGTGTAGCGTACCTCCTCCTGGGTCACAGTGTACTTCACCTTTTGGGGCTCGCTGGGACTTAAGCCTAGTTATAGGTCTAGATGCCAGAATCAGTAGTGTGGAATTGTTTTGAGAACATTCAGCATTATCTCATAAAGCATCTGCCTCAGGCGATGCTCCAGGCAATGACTCAGGCAAGTGCTCTTTAGAGGAAGCTGGGCTAGGCCTAATCTCCTCAGATGGGAGTGGAGGAGCTAATGGTTTTTCTGGGCAGGGTGGTTTAGCAGACAAACATGAAGTAATCTCTTCAGATGGGACTGGTTCTGCTGGCAGGAGTGATTCAATGGAATTTACAGGCTCAGCTTCCTGATTACCTGCCCATATGTCCCCATCCCAAGTCTCAGGATCCCATCTCTTCCCAATCAGTGCCCTTACTTTAACCTCAGACACCTCTCGAGGTTTGCAATTGAGCTGGCGTTGTAATTCAGCCACTCTTACAGTAAGACTCTGTGTTTGGTTTTTAGCAATTTCAGCTCTGTTACTACAAGAAATAAGGCTTTCTTTCAAAGCACAAGTCGAAGCCTTGAAGTCATGTATGCAGCACTTGAGCCTTGACTCTGAAGCCCTGGGAGCATCTCTTTCCTTCATCAGTTTATCTAGCGAAAGTAGGACAAACCAACCAGCTCCCTTATACTTCTCATTCTGACAAAGCTGTAGAAAGATACCACACGTGTTCACCCTGAGCCTCACTTTTCACCAACACCTGATCTACCGGTGGTGATATTTGCGTATTTGTATCGCCACCTTGCTCCATGGACTAGCAGTGACTTCTTTACTGCTGAAAGCAGAGTCATCAATGTCTTTATGACTAACCAGACTTGAGAACCAATTTAGAAAACTCATCCTTACAATTTTGTTTCTCTAGAACCACTCCCGGTACCAAATGTCTTAGGCTGGGTTATCTAGAGAAGCAAAGCCAGTAAAGTGTATAAATATATACATATAGAAAGAGATTATAACAAGGAAACAGCTCACACGATTGTAGAGGCTAGAACGTCCCAAGTCCGTGGATCAGAGTAGAGGCCTCTCCCAAGTCACACAGCTGCAGAAGCTGGCAAGCCCAAGATCGGAAGGTTGGAGAGCACGGCTCCCACTCACGGCTGTGCAGATCGACGAATCCCAAGTTCGGCAGATAAGCTGACAGCTCAAGTCCCAAGAACAGGAGATGATATGACAGGAAGCAGCCGCAGGATCCAGAGAGAGCAAAAAGCCAGAACGTCTGCTTATACACAGATGCGGGCCATACCCCCAAGGAGACTCCCTTTCATCTGATTGGCTACTCACAGTATATTCAATCATGGGAGTGATTACATTAGAATACGGAGGATCATGGCCCAGCCAAGTTGACACACAATCTTAACCATCACAGACATTAATGACACACACTGATTTTTGTTATCTTTAAGCAACAAAAACATGGCCTGCAGTTATTCAGATAGGGTGGGATTTTCCCCTTAGGTGCACTTCTTAACAAGGAGTCCTGGTGGTGCAACAGTTAAGTGCTCGGCTGCTAACTGAAAGGTTGGTGATTTGAACCCACCCAGCATCTCCTTGGGAGAAAGACCTGGCAACCTGCTTCTGTAAAGATTACAGCCAAGAAAACCCAATGGGACAGTCCTACTCTGTCACATGGGGTCACTAGGAGTCAGAATTGACTTGATGGCACCCAACAACAACAACACTCCTTAACAGTCATTCACAGGGTGACTGGGCACGCACTAAGAGCAAGGCACTGTGAGGGGGGCAAACAACACGAGTCCCACCTCCAGGAGCTCAGTGTGGGGTGAAGATGGGCCCACCCGACTACAGCGTGAGGCAGATGTACTGACTGCCATGGGGTTGAGTGGTAGCAGCACAGAGACATGGTTCAAAAAGAGCTCTCCAGTCACAAGACTGGCAGGTTGGAAACCCAGAGATAATACCTTTGAACTATGTGCCTTCATTTTTCTCAGTTTCATTTCATCAGCTGCAAATAGCAGCCCCTTAATAGAATTTCTGTACGGATTTTAGATAAGCGTACAAGTAAAGCACTGAGCGTGGTGCCAGCATGAGGGGAGGTCAAAACATGGCTGCTCACATTATTACCATGATTACTTCTGTATAGGGACTACCACAGGAAAGACTATTCATTCTTTGGAGCATGGTTTTCTAGAGCAGTTCTCGTTGGCGCAAATATTGGCATAGTCTTCCTTGTATAGGACTATTCTGATGTTGCAGGACATTTAGCATCCTGACCCCACAGGAGCAAAGGGCCAGGAGCACCCCCATCATTGTGATTACCAAAAAAATGCACCAACACATCACCAAACACCCTCTGTATGGGGTTATTACTCCTGTTAAGAAATGCTCTTCTATAGGGACCTTTTTTAAAATTAAGAAATAATTTAGTTCCATAATAAACAGTAAGAATGTCTTCCTGTCTTCAAGAGTATTCAAGGACGAGATACATTAGGTCTGGTGGCAGGGAGAATGGAAAAAAAAAAAAAATGTTCAGTGCAGTTTAAAAGAAGAGTCCTTTCCTGATGAATCCCAGTAGGAAAATTCCTGACCTCACCACTCAGGGCTCAAGCCAAAAGGTAAAGTTACAGCTTTGCAAGTCAAGTCAGCAGAAAGGAATTCTGGCATGAAGCTGCTTCTTCAGCCAGGCTTACCGTCCATGTAATTGAAGTAGAAGGTAGCCATATACATTCAAATAATTACCTTATGGGAGGATTTTTTAAATCCTAATTTCTTTTTTCCTTAACCTACTGGACAAAGGTCTGCTTCATCCTATGTCCACAAAAAAACTAACATCATAAACAAAAAGATAACAATAACAAGACAAAAAACTGGCAAAGGATCTGTGCTGAGAAAAGCTCTAGCTCAACGTAACCTTAACCCATATCCCTCTCTGACCAAGTGTTCCAATCTGAACACAGTTCATGCTGTCACAGGTCATAAACATTCTCCTGAATTTCCTCTCCAGAACCTAACAGTGTTTCGGCAATGTCAGAAAGGACACAAGGCATATTACCTTCATTGGTGCGAAGAGGCAGAGAGAAGGCAAGTTATGGTACCTTCATTTTATAGATGGAATGACTGAGGCACAGAGAGGTGAGAAGAAATGTTCGTTGGTGGAAAGTACTGGGGCTCAAATCCAGACCTCCTGCTTCCCAAAACAGTACTGTGGTCCTTGTCTCCAAAATTACAGACATGCATCAATAAAAGGGCTGATGTATCCTGCTGAGCAACCCTCCGAGACGGAAGCTCCTGTGAGCTCTACTCTTTCCAGTGTCTACTTAATTTGAGTCTAACCGGGGTCTGCTGAATTGTTGCTGTCAATTGCTGAAAGAAAACTTGTTCAGAAGGACATTATATATGTGTTCACCATCTCTCTTTGGAGACTTTCTTCATCTTTTTGAAACGATTATATTAAATGGATGTGGGGCTAAAGTTAGACCAAATCTTCCAGTCAGGATGGGCTTCTTAGAATCCTTAGGTAAACTGAATGTGAAACTCTGCATTAGGCTCACAAACATCAGAAATAATTCCATCTTTGCCAGTTGCTCTCCCATACACACCCGCTTCCCTAAAAAGGAGATCACAAAAAAGGATCATAATGCTATCCCCTTTCCTATCACAAAAAGAACAAATTTATATGAAATATCTAAATTTGAATGTTTAAATGCAGATATAAAGAGTTTTAAAATAAAATTGCCACACAGACCACATGGTCTCTCATGATACATGCTCATCAGAATTTTTATATAAGTATACATTTTAACTCCTACTCATAAAAACCTAGCCTCATCCCAGAGAGGAAGGAGAGGCCAGATCTAATGTGGCAGGCTACCCTGTCTCCTCCATGCCTTTTCTTCCCTCTTACCTGGAAGAGTAAGGGGCAAAAAGTCAGATAAGAATCTCTGGAGCCCTCCTTTTCCATAGAAAGAATCCCATGTACTCTAATCTAGGAATCTAAAGGGGAGACTGGCCAGATTAGAGAACCCACCCTCTCACCCACCAGCCCAGCAAAAAGTCAGAGGTAGCTTTTAGCTCCAACTGTTGTCTGGGACCCAAACAATCACCTGGGCAACTCAGAAGGAATGATTTCTAGTAATATTTAAATATTTAAAGCCAACTTCTTTCCTTTTGTTTCTAAAATCTGAAATGAACAGTGACGGTGCATTACCTAAATTATTTATCTCTTATATTGACTTGCCAAGAAAGAAACATTTTTAAAACATAAAATCATAAAAGATTCTTTGAGTTCTACTGTTTTATTGATAATCACTTTTAAAAAGTTTAACTGACCTATCCCAAAAGGAATAAAGGTTTCTTTTTTAATAAGCTGTCCTTGATCATCCAGAAATCGATTGGGGTAGAAGTCATCCGGTTTCTCCCAGATGGCTGGGTCTCTGTGTACTGACCACAAGTTGGGTATGACCATTGTGCCTTTAGGGATGGTATACCCTTGAAGCACTGAAACAAACAAAAAAAACACAGGGTCAATCAACAGGATTTTACTAATAGTTTTCCCTAACCATCATTATCTTAAAAAAAAAAAAAGAAAAGAAAATCTAGTTACATATGTAGCATTTAATTTACTGAGACTAAACGCTGAGGTCCTCGAGGACAGGGGCAAGGTCTTATCAATTGGCATCCTTCTCGACACACCTTCCCAGAACCCAGCCTGAGACACAACACAGGAGGTGCTTGGATGGATGTTGAATTAAATCAAACCACGAAAACATTACAATGAAGAGAAAACACTGAGACAGAAATAATAAGGCATTCCAGGAAAACTTTCCCTAAGAATTCAAATTCCTAATAATTGGATAAGCTTTTACAGTTTACAGAATTATTATGTCCACAAACAATATGGTGAGGAAGGTAAACTGAAGTAAAGAAATGTTCAGGGAAGTTAACACTGCCTCCTACCAGCTGGCAAGTTGATATGTACTTTAAACAGCGCCCAAGAGACACTGTACACACAGTATATATTTGCACCCAAGAAACTGTTATGTGACCCAGTGCCATTTACAAGGGATTGCTTAAGATAATGTTCAAGCAACAATGTAATGAGCTGTCTCCAGAGGAGGCAGAATCCTTGTTAGTAGTGATGCTTAAAGAAGAGTCTGGGTGGCTCACTATACATCAAGAACATGACCAAATGGATACATTTCGCTGTAGATGTGGCTGAAACGTGTGATCATAGAATCAGATGGGGCCTTCTAATTATATAATATTTTGTTTCTGTTGCAGAATTGTAAAAATTGGAGTAGAATAATTTCCAATTAAAATCCTTAATTTCACATCTTGACCAGCTCTTCTGACTCCCCAGCAGAGGACTGAGAGGTACCTCTGTTAATTCTGGAGTTGTTTCTGCCAACACAGCCAACTCAAATTGTGGCATAATTTATTTTCCAGTGTGTGCTCTGAAGGCTAGGAGAGCTATTTATAAGACAAAGAGGCACCAGAATGCCAGTACAACTCATAATGTACAACTGAGGGCTTAAAACATTCCCTTGGCTGTCCATTTGCTTCTCCAACATGCACCGCTAAACCCTCAGAAGGATCAAGCTAGGCAACAGACACCACACTGCACTCCTTATCACCACTGGACTGAGGAGACAGAATCTCTATCTTTAGTGAGGCTGTACTTCCCTCAAGGGCATTTAGAGGAAGAACCCGGACTTGCCTGTTTTCACGGAAGTCATATGAGGGATGGCAAGTGGCACCACCACCGTCAGCCTCTGCACCTCCATGATTGTAGCCTCTGTGTACGGCATCTGGACCTTGTCAGTGAGGGAAGGGGCTCGGTTGGGACCAATGACCCTTTCAACTTCTTCGTGAACCCTTTCTATACAAGAAAGCAAAGAGTTAAGACAGAAAAGAGTTGAGACTGCCCTCCTATGCACACTTCCCATCACCACTTATTCAGCTTCAGTGAAGTGAAACATTGTTCAGATACCCCAAGTAGAGACAGCTAGCCCCAGGGATCATGTGCCCCTCTGATTCTGTGGAAAATAATAGACAAGTAAGAAAGCATTCTGGATTCAAAAGCACCCTGACTCATATGAATGAATACTGATTGACTCTGTAAGCAGACTGTGAGAATGTGTGGTAGCCCAGATGGCCCCCAAAGGTCCCCAGCTTTTGGTGTTCTTGTTGTAATACCATCTCACTTTGTACCAGGTTGGTCTATGTGACCAATAGAGTAAGACAGAAATGAAGGTATGTCACTGTCATGGAATTATGTCCCCCCAAAAATGTATGTATCAATTTGGCTGGGCCATGATTCCCAGGATTGTGTGATTTTCCTATATGTTGTAAATCCTGCCTCTATGACTTTAATGAAGGAGGATGGGCAGCAGTTGTGTTAGTAAGGCAGGACTCAATCTAACAAGACTGGACTGTGTCCTGAGGCAATCTCTTGAGATATAAAAGGGAGAAGTGAGCAAAGAGACAGGGGGACCTCATACCACCAAGAAAGAAGCACCGGGTGCAGAGCGTGTCCTTTGGACCCGAGGTTCCTGCACGGAGAAGCTCCTAGTCCGGGGGAAGACTGATGAGAAGGCCGACAGAGAGACAAAGCCTTCCCCTGGAGCTGACACCCTGAATTTGGACTTTTAGCCTGCTTTACTGTGAGGAAATAAATTTATCTTTGTTAAAGCCATCCACTTGTATTTCTGTTACAGCAGCACTGGATGACTGAGACAGTCACTTTTGAGCTTAGGTTATAAAAGATATTGCAATGTGTTTGAATAAACATTTATCAGTGTGTGAGATAATAAATGTTTGTTGTTTTAAACTAAGAAATTTTGGGATAATTTGTTACTTCACAAGAGGTAAATAATACAGGTGGGCACAATTCCATTTATGGCAGGCAGAATGATGACTCTTCAAAGATGTACACACCCTAATCTCTTTACAAAAGACACTCTGCAAGTGTGTTTAAATTAAGGACCATGAGATGGGGAGACTATTCTGGATTATCTGGATGGGCCCAATGTAATCACATGGGTCTTTAAAATCAGAAAATCTTTCCCAGTGGAGTTCAGAGTTAGAGGGAGATGTGACTACAGAAGAATGGTCTGAGAGATGCAACACTGCTGGCTTCCCTGAGGACAACGGCCATGAGCCAATGAATATGGGTGACCTCTTGAAGCTGGAAACAGCAAGGAAATGGATTTTCCTCTAGAGCCTCCAGAAAGGAATGCAACCCTGCTAACATCTTGATTTTATCCCAGTGAGACATGTGTCAGACTTCTAACCTACCAAGCTATAAGATAATAAATTTGTGTTGTTTTAAGCCACTAAATTTCTGATTTGTTACAGCAGCAATGGAAAACTATATACCATCCTTCCCTGTACTCATCCACTATGAACTGCCATTGACATTCACTTCCTATTGGTGTTGAAAGGGTGGAACTAGCTATGTGACCCTATGAAAGTCACGTAACTTCTCTGGGCCTCTGTTCTCCATTTTCAAAACAGACGAATGGATTCAGATGATCATTATGATTCCTTTCAGCTCTAAAACGTTGTCCTTCTCTAAAGTTCTTTCTCCATTATAGATTTCACAGAGAATCAGACCTGTAGATATTTAAAGCAGGGCAAGCAAGTTATGACATCAGTCTCACTGTCTAGAAACTTCACTGTTAATGCCTTACCACTCCCTATGAGATGTAAGTATTTACATTTTATTTTCCAGACTGAAGACAATGCTTAGTGCTAGCAGCCCAGGATCCCCGAGGCTGCTGATCCTGGTTTTGGTTTTACCATGAATTAAGGAAACATCTTTTACCTTGTACATCAGGGTATGCTGACATATACAGAAGGCACCAAAGCAAAGAGTTAGTTGTGGTATCAGTCCCAGCAACAAAGAGATCCCCAATAATATAAAACAAATAATCTTCATTAAAGCTACTGTTGCTATTATTTTTCCTTTCCTCTTCCACTTGGAGAAGGTACATGTCTATGAAGTCCTGAGGGTTCTCTTCATCCAGAGACTCTCGATGATCTTTGATGATTTTTTTAAGAAAACTGGTTATATCCTTTTCAATTTGTCTTAATTCCTTAAATGGTCCAAAGGGAAGGTAATAAAGCCAGGAGCATATATTGACCAGGAGGACCTGGCTGTTCAGACAGATTTCTAACCCTCGCGACATAAAATGAAGCATCTTCTTAAACTCACTATTGGTGTAGTCAAAACGCTGGCCAAAACACAAGGAGCAAATGATGTTAGAGATGGCATTATTGATTATGGGGAAAGGACTGAAGGGATCTTCTCCATGCTTTTGCATTTCCTCTTTCACATATTTGAACTCCTCAATAATCTTGGGCTCCAAGCTAAGCTTTCCCAAGCCAAAATGACGAAGAGTTGAATGAGAAAACTTCCTCTGTTGTCTCCAGACTGGACCATAATGTGCGAATACAATCCCTGCAAAAGGACACCGAGAATGGAATGTGAGAGAGAGCAATACCTGATAATACTAAACGGGATCTACCATGAAATGTATTCCGGATTTCTCAAGTTACTTGTGTGTAGTTCATATACAGGTTCACAGAGAAAGGCTACCTTCAAAAACATGCTTCATTCAACCAATATTTCTGAATACCTACTATGTGCCAGGCACTGAGGTGCTAGGGATACAGCTGAGAATGAAAGAACGAAGCTGCTCTGTTGTTAAGTCTTCTCACAATCTCTAATACTCTATAAATGCGTCTCAATATAAATATCTACGTGGTCAAATGTGTCAGATTATCTATCATTTCTATTTTCCACCCTGGAAACTTCCATATTTCTGCTCAAACCTATATGGTTGTTCTCTAGGCCTACTGTGCAGGTACTGTCTTGTGACTCACTTGTCATCATTTAGGAATTTTCTTTTACTCTCTCCTGTGTTGAAACCCTTGTTTCCTGGATCCTATGTCCTCCTCTTTCTTGCTCTACTCCTTCATTTTGCTGAAACATATCCTGTAGTAGCTTCCTGAGAAAAGATGCATGGGAGATACATTTCTTAAGACTTTGCATGCATAAAAATGTATTTATTCTATCTTTGCACTTGACTGCCAGTTTTTCCTCAGAATTTTAAAAAATAATGTATTTTAAAATTTTGTTTTGTTGTTGTTGAGAATATACATGGCAAGACATACACCAGTTCAACAGTGTCTACATGTACAATTCAGTGACATTGATTACATTCTTCCAGTTAAGCAATCATTCTCACCCTCCTTTTCTGAGTTGTTCCTCTTCCATTAATATACACTAACTGCCTTTAAGGTTCCTATCTAACCTTTTGAGTTCCTGTTGTCAGTTTGATCCCATATAGATGGTCTTAAAAGAACATAGTGCTCAAGGCAGACATTTTTTACTAGGTAAGCTAAACTACTGTTTGCTTTTAAGAAGACTTTAGGGGATATTTTTGGTTAAGATTTAAAGATTATCTCAGGGCAATAGCTTCAGGGGTTCATCCAGCCTCCATGACTCCAAAAAGTCTGGAATCCATGAGAATTTGAAATTCTGTTCTACATTTCCCCCTTTTGATCAGGATCCTTCTATAGAATCTTTGGTCAAAATGTTCAGTAATAGTAGCTGGCATCAACCAGTTCTTCTGGTCTCATGGTAAAGGAGGCAGTTGTTCACGGAGGCAACTGGCCACACATTCCATATCCTCCTATTCCTAACACTCCTTCCTCTGTTGCTCCAGGCAAATACAGACCAAGTGTTGTGTCTTGGATGGTATTCCCTTAGAATTTTAAAGGCATTGCTGAGAGCAGATTGCTGCATCATAAAACTATGTACTATCTTCAACATTACTAGGCATTGCCGAATTATTCTCCAAAGTAGAGAGCACACCCAAAGTGTACTCACCCACCCAGAAGTTTCAAATGTAAATGTTGTATGTCTCATTTAAAAAATCTTTTCCTACCATGAGTTCATAAACAAATTTTCTATTTTCCCGTAAAAGTTTAAAATTTTCTTTCATATTTACGTCTCTAATCTGCCTACAGTTTATATGTGTGCTAAATTTAAGGCAGGGATTTGTATATATATATATTTCTCCATTTAGATAGCCCACTGTTCAAGTAACAGTTATCAAATAGCCTCTCCTTTTCCCCACTGATATGCAATGTTGCCTCTGTCATACTTTCCTATACACAGATGGCTCAGTTGTTAGGCTTTCTAGCTGGCTATACTTGTCTATTTATTTATTGCTGTACTTAAAGCACATTGTTTTAACTATTTTTACTTGATAACAGATTTTATAACATCTTAACATCTAGTAAGAAAGTCATCCCCCCCACACACACCAACCTTGCTCTTTTTCAAAAGTGTTCTTGATTATTCTTGGCTCTTTAATCATTTATATAAGCTTTAAAATCAGTTTGTTAAGTTCTATTAAAAAAAAAAAACTTCTGGGATTTTTATTGGAATTGCATTTAATTTAAAATTTGAAAATTGCTTTCCTTATGATAGACTTCTTTGCAATCTGAGGATAAATCCAAACTTGGTTACGATGTTTTTATGCTTTTTTTTTTTTTAAACATTGCTAGATTTGGTTTCTTAATGTTGTTTTGGTTTTTCTAATTCATATCCATAAACACAAATGGCCTATATGTTTCCTTTCTCATAATGTACTTGATTAGATATACTGGTCTTCTAAAACGAGCCAGAGAGTATTCTTTCTCTCTGGAAGAGTTTGTGTATGATTGGAATGATTGGTTCCTTGAATATTTGGTAAAGCTAACTGTGAAACTGTGTGTGTATATGTGTATTTTATATTATACACGGTTCAATTTATTTAATGATTATAGATCTTTCAGGTTTTGTTTCTTTTAGAGTCAAAACATTAAGTTATATTTTTCTAGGAAACTGTCCATTTCAACTAACTTTTACATTTTATTAACAAAAGTTATTTGTAGTATTTTTTGTTCTTTCTTGATCAATTCTGGCTAAAGTATTTTTCTATTTTATTAATCTATTCAAAGAACAACTTTTAGCTCTGTTGATCCTTTCTGTCTTTGTATTTTATTTAATCCCTTTCTGCTCTTATCTTTATTATTCCTTTTAGGTTTACTCTGTTGTTATTTTCCTAATATATTAAGTTGGCCACCTAACTCCTTTTCAGACTTTTATCCTAATACAAAATTTAAGGCTCTACATTTGCCTCGAGATAGCACTTTAGTTGCTGTCCAAGAGTATTGTTTGCATGCATTTTCACTATTCAGATTTAGGTTAATTTTTTTTTTCTACCATGATTCTTTGCCACCTGAGTTGATTATACTGATTTTTGACATTTAATGCTTGCTTTTTAGCCTAGTATGTGTTCAATTTTAATAAAATTTCCAAATAAAGTTGAGAGAAATGTTTATTCTGTAATTGTTGGGTACAGGGTTCTCTATATGTCCAATAGAGAAGGCTTGGTACCCGTGGGAATCAGATCCATGTCCTTACTAAATTTTCATCTGCTTGACCTCTCAACTATTCAAATACATATGCTCATATATTTTGATACAATGGTAGACTTGTCAATTTCTTGTTGTAGTTCTGTTTATTTTTGCTATATGTAGATAAATATAAACATATCTATGTATCTGCCTGTCTCTATGCTGTTAGAGGCATTCAAGTTTAAATTATTGTATCTTCCTGCTTAAAAAAAAAGAAAACTCATTTCATCATTATGTAATGCTCTTCTTTATTCCCAACAATGAAGTTTGACTTAGAGTATATTTTGTTTAATATGTATCACTTTTTCTAAGTATTTTCTTTAAGGCAGGGCATAACCTTTCCCTTTCTTTTATTCTGAACCATTATGTTTGAGGTCTCTTTTAAAATAGCATATAATTGGATTTTTTAAAAATGCATTCTGACAATGTCTTTTAACCAGTAACTTTAGCCCATTTGCATTTATTATTATTAGTAATTTATTTCTAACATCTTATTTTGAACTTTCTATTTGTCCTGCTAC